GCCAAAGTTGGCACTAACTTCGCCGGCAAACGGCGGTGGCTCAGTCGGTACATTTCGCTTGCAGGCACAGATATATATATATTATATATATTTATTATTTACTGCAATTGGGCTTATGCCCGGTGGCAGTGTATACACAAGCGGACATATATTCAACAAAGATACATCACATACGTCTCAAGAAAAAACATACGTGTCAAGAAATAATTTTCGCAGTACAGTACAAGTACAATGACCTAATACAAGTACACTTCACTTCTCTTCACTTCACTTGCTCTACTGATTTTGCTTTCCTAACCTTCGCTAAGGCAATATGCGCTTTAGAGTTCGTTTTTGTTTGATTTGATGGGAACGCATGATGACTGAAAGACAATAGTCAAATTTTCGGAGCAACCTGCTGTCTCCATTTTCATTTACTCTGACAGTGCAGACAGCCGGATTCTCCGAAAACATTGGACCAAACTACACGGCGCCACACCCGAAATGGCAGTAATCTTCGTATTCACGGCCGTAAGGACCTCATATCCGCAGGACTGTAAGCCACGGTCTCATTGTTCTAGCAATTTGTCTACAAGTCTGTGTTTCAGCTAGTCTGTACATTTCGCGGAAGTTAAGCTCCATCCCTGGCACCACAAATGCCCGACAATCAATCCTATCCTGAGCCAGTTCACATTCCCATAAACTTATGTTTTGAAATATAGAAGAATATTATACTTCCATCTATGACTACGTCTACCATTGAATTCTTATCGAAATGTTCGTTAATCTATTCGCGTTCCATGCGCGCTGCGTGTTCTGCCCATCACGGCCATCTAATTCAGTTAGAAAACGCTTCCTCAACCCTCGTTGTACATGCTTCCCCCGTGAGTCTCGCTTGCCTCCTACACGTGAAATTAAAGCGTTTTTCCAATATCCATTAAGCAGGCTTGGTTAGCCATAAAAATGCCTGATGCAAAGTGCCAGAGGCGACGCGTGTCAGCAGGCCCGCTTGTAGCGCTGTTGCACGGACCAGCTTCCGGGCTCGACATTTAAACCTCCAAGACGTGACAGCAGCGACGCCCAGAGGCGGTAGTCGCGATTATATCAGAGTAGGTTCATCCAGTTCTGAAGAATTTGTAGGCCTAGTTGTATTCGCATACAGTTTGGAACATCAGTAGGTCAGTAAGTTGTATTGTAGATGCTTTCGGAAAACTTATAAGCAGCTGGCGAAATATTTGGATAATCCTTTAGTGACTGTACAGTAACATTTTTGTATTTGCTGTCACTGTACGACATGACAGGGTCCTGCAGCAATGGGCACACACACTTTCCGCTGACAGGCAAGGCTGAGGAGTTGCGTAGATTTGAGTACTGAAGAGGGGGTGGCGGCACCGCAGAGTTTAATAAACCGTAACCTGCATTTTCCTCAGAGCGTGCATTTACGTGGGTGCTGAATGATACTGCACATGAGTTATAGCGGCCTGTAGACTTCAACAAAGCCTAGATCCGCATAGGAGGAAAGTACGTATCATTCCCCGGTCACGGTAGCCGAGCGGGCTAAGGCATGTACTGTCTTCGCTCGCTCGGAAGCCGGGATCGTGGGTTCGAATCCCACTCAGGACATGGATGTTTAGTTTGTGTGTGTGCGTTTTTCTGTGTTTGTGTACAGGTAGAGGCCTTGCGACGAACTGATCACCCGCCCAAGGAGTCCTACCAAATGTGTAAGATCTAGAAAAACCGAAGTGAACGGAGAAGTTCATGGAGGTAGGCCTAGGCCCACTGGGGCTGTAGTGTCAAGGTAAAAAAAAAGTATCATTCACTATGCTCAATGAGTTTGGCACACCCATGAAAGTAATTAGGCTATTAAAAGTCGTGTTTAAATAAAACATATGTTGGTAATAAACTCACAACAGGTCTTTCCTATAGTGAATAATCTGAAAAGAGGAGAAGCTTTGTCGTCATTACTTTTCAATTGTCATTTGGAGTACAGCATTATGCAGGCGAAAGATAATCACATATAATCGAAAAGTAATAGGGCATACAGACTTCTGGTCTATACTGAAGATGAAGAATGCCGTCTTCTTGGATCTGGCGTCTTGTAGATATTATATAAACCGATATTTCGGAGGAACGTATCGCCTCTATCTTCAGGGTAGAAGTGTGCAGCCACCTGCTCACGCTGGTTCCTCCCTCACGGATATTTCTTCTACCCTGAAGATGTAGATGATACGTTACTCCGAAACGTCGTTTTATACAATATCTGCACAACACCACATCCCAGAAGACGGCATTCTTCATAGTCACTGCCGTGAAAACCTCAAATTCTACATATACTGAAGATGTTAATTTATTGAACGAAAACAGCAGTACAGAAAATAAAAGAACACCGGCCCTCTATTAGATGCTGATAAAGAAGCTGGTCTACAAGCAAAAGCAGGGACACGAAGTGTATGCTCATATCTCGTCACCAGAATGCGCCACTCAATCTTAATACGAAGGAAGCTAATAGATGCTTTGAGATTGTGGTAACGAACGCACAACGCACAACAGCAACGTGTCAGGACTGTATTCGGGAAGAAATTAAGTAGACACCGAATTCAGGAACCGTTTGCTGCCCTTCAGTTCTATGATCCCGTCTGCTAAGAACATAATTATAAAATTTACAAAAACTATAACATTTCCTGTTGTTTCGTTGAAGGAAAAACACAAAATATGTGTTTTTGGGAACGGAGTTATGACCAGAATATTCGGACGTATGAGTAGTGTGTCAGAACACTGGAGAAAACTGCATGGTGAGGAGCTTCATAACTCATTATTATTATTAGGATGCTCAAATCAAGTATCATGAGATAGACGGAGTCTGTAGCAGGCATTTGGAGAAAAGAAATATATTAAAAAGTTACAGCAATAGGGTATACTTTTATTTTAATTTGTCTGTGAAGGCTGTTAAGAATATATTAACTAAAATGGTAGGCAGTGCTATTCTCTGAGCATGAAATGAATGCTGTATTTCATAGAATTAATGACATATTTTTCCTGACATTTTCTTAATTAAAGTTTCAAATGTATTTATTATGAAAAGGAATGCTTTCTCTGGAATCATATAGTCTGTAACAAATAGAATTCTTTTTTTTATATATATTTTTTACTTTACCATTAATTTAAAGGAGTCGTTCTTTAGTAGAATTTTAAAGAAAGAATGTCAGTCAAATTACGCAACTAAAGATGACTTCTATGTAGGTGAAAATATAAAATTATGAATGACGATTCAAATCAAATCCAAAACTCTACCTCATAATTTATACATCGATATGGGGTAAATGCAATATTATTCTTTTCAGTGTTCTGTTTTAGATCCACCGTACAATGTAGGAACCATTAAACTTGCATTCTCATGTAGGCCTATATCAAATATAAAGCCTCAGTTTATTCCTGCCACGAATTTCTTTCATAATCTCAGTTTTATGTGAACAGTTCACTAGATAATTAAGTTGCCTTTTGTATCTGAACGGCAAAGTAAATTGTTATTATTATTACAGTGGATGATGTAAGTCTGAGGCAGAGAATGTATCTAAAAACAGCTACTGCAATTCTCAATGTATATTTCAATTCTTATGCTTCTCTACGTTACCTTCGCGTTCTGCAGTCTCTGTTGCAGAAGGACAGGAATGAGACACTTGTCTCATATCTACAACTAAATACTGTACTAACGACAATACAGAAAGCAGGCAATTACTTTTTTATGACGATGGAAGCACTCAGACCTTACAAATTGAAGGAGTGACCCTCGTCGAGTGCTACAGTTTATCGAGCTCTGCTATGGCAAAAACCAATGCCATAATGGGATACATTATAAACATCCCATAAATTACGTTTATCATCCAGACCCGGCAGCCGCGACTGGCGTCCGACCATCTCAACCCTTTGCAACATTTGAAGATTTTCAGTCTACATCCAAACATCTGACTTTAGGTAGCAGTGCTATCGATACCAACAAACAGCAGAATTACGTAGGGCTGCTTTTTCAGTTAATACAGTAATGTTTGCCCCACGCTGTGTTTTGAAGACAGTCAAATTAAAATAAATGAAAGTGGGGATTCTATTATTTGTTTCTGATTTATTTAACCAAGAGCTCTTTAGCTCCAATTATAGTATGATTGGTGAATAATGACTTGAAAAGCTGTAAGATGTAGATCCACCTCAGACTCAGATCATTATGCTCTAACTTCGCAATTCGGAGCCTACGTTTAGCTGGGCGTGTGTCATTGTATTATGCTTGATGATATTGTCAGTAACTCAGACTTTACAGCGACGAATTATTGGATGAAAAAAGAGTCATGAATTAGAAGGAATATGGATAGAAACGGTCGTGGCCCCACTGAAGGCATTTGTGTGAAGACACTACGAAAACTTCAGTCAAGTTAGTCGGCTTTCTGGGCAAGATTCGAAAGGGAATTCTCCCAAAGACAAATCAGAAGCGTATTAGCTTGGGCTAACTTGTTCGGTGGTGCTTGGAGTGACACGTGAGATTTATGGTGGGCGAAATGACACTGGAGTACGTTTTCTCCTAGTTCCTTCGATTTACCCCTACTAATAGTGGCCTCCGTAGTCTAGGTGTAATGTTCCCACCTCGTGACTCGTGGTACGCGGGTTCAAACCCGGCGGAGGTCGTGGAATTTTTAAGGGCGGAAAAATTCAGGGAACAAGTCCTCCGGGGAGGGGCTGATGGTACGCACCAGTACCGGTAGGATATAGAGACTGGTAGAACATCAAAGGGGGATGTACAATAGACTACTAGTCGCGGTGCATGGGGAAACCCACCCATTCCAATAATAATAATAATAAATAATAACACCCCTACTAATCGTCATTCCACCATTGCTGTACATTCATTTATCAACGTCCCCTGAACTGTGCGATAGTTCTCCCTGTGCAAAATATTGTCACGTCACTGGTATTTAAGTAAGGGCTTCATCTCTAAATGGATATTTGGTGACATTTACCTAACATTTTTCCAACAGACCTTATCCGAGCTTCTGGAATTGGTGCCTTTGGAAACCCGTCGTGAAATGTGGTTCTAGCATGATGGCGTCACGGCACACTGCACTAATGTCGTCCGTGAGTATTTGGATGAAACCTTTGGCAAGAGAAGGATTGGATGTGGAGAATAACCTGGCTCCCTCGCTCCTATGATTTGACTCCACTGGATTTCTTTCTCTGGGGATACATGCAAAGCCTGGTATACGAGACTCCAGTGGAGACACAACAAGATCTTGTGGCAAGAATTGCGGTAGCAGCTGGAACCAGCAGGAAAATTCCAGGAATCTTTCAGAATTCAACATAACATAACGGTGCAGAACATGCAATGAAGTCGTCGGCCGCCATTTTGATCAACTTTTATAATGTAAAATAACGATAATTTCCCCTAAACCTTATGAATCCTCTCGGAAAATTCTGTGACCCTTAATGCCAAAAGGAAGCATTTCCCGACATGGATGTATCAACAAAATATGATCAGATTGAACCCCATCTCCCACAGAGTGCTGTAACGTATATTTATTTACACCCTGTATATATATATATATGTGTGTGTGTGTGTGTGTTTGTTTGTATGCTGCACAGAGAACTCACCATAATCACAAAAGCTCTTACGGGGCCAGGAGGTTTTACATTCACAATCACAAAGCTCTTACGGGACCAGGAGATCCACTCTCTCCAACATAGAAGCTGTTACGGAGCCAAGAGATTCACAGCCGTCATCACAGAATCTCTCACGGATCTAGGAGAATCGCCAGAAGATTCATGTCCTCCATCCAAAAATCTCGTATGTATCCTGGAGATTCATATCGACTGTTACATGAAATCGCCTTCGGAAAAGTTTGAGAAAATTTAGTTCAATTTTCGTCTCACAATTTAATTCCTAAGATCCCCTTCAAGATCATTTTCTTATTTATATCTGGATTTTCAAAATGACACCTTTTCGCGTGGATATTCAGAAAAAAAGAATATGTATGTACCCTGTCACTTCATGTATCTTGACTTACTCAGCCTAGCAAATCTCGGTGAATCTCCTCCTCATGTATTCTTACAATTTAGTGTTAGTCCATACTCCTTCCATCTTGTCTCAACACTTCGTGTCGTGAAAGAGATCATCTTAACCGATATGCAAAGCTTTCATTATTAACCTTCACAGAGAAGAAGCTAAATGAGGATAAGACAATGGATTTGGTTTGGATTTTCTTTAATAAGAGTTGTTTCTGTCTGGAACGCGTCTGTAGTGGAATGGATTTTCCAGACACCCTGCAGCTCTAAGTATTTGCCTCCAGTCCATGCCTTGGGACACACGCTGTCTGGAGTTATAGCAGTGCGTGCTTTTTGAAACAAGTTATCTGTGATCGTGTTGCCAGCAGTAGCGTGTGTATTCTCGGTGACATTACAGCTGCAGAAGGAGCGTGCTGGCAGTGCAGATGTCGTGCGTATGTGTATCTCTCCTGTTCTCGCCCACTTCAGGTGTAAGGAGAACCGCGTTGTTCCTGATAGACGCTTCATCCATCATTACAAAGTGGAATGCTTTCCACCACCAGCCAATTAAAATCCCAGGGCTCGTATTATTACTCCGTAGGGTAAACAATCTCGAATCGTATCGATATTTCAATTGATTTGTGTCGGTTGGGGTGGCTCCCCAGTTCGTCATCATCACCGTTACGTTTAACTGCAGCTCGCCTCGTGTTCCAGTAATTACCAACTTATGTAGGGCTGCTTCCAAATGTGCGTCCTTGTCACGCTTCTTTGGTCTGTATTTATTTTCTGTGCTTTTTATGCTGTTGATATATATATTTTTTTAATAACACTGAATAGCGAACTGACTGGTACTGATGGTTGGTGCGAATTTGGAAGGAAGCGACAATGGTTTGGGCGAGGTACTACCCCGGCATTTTCTGTAGAGACTGAGAAATAAAACAAAACATCTCGATCGGGATACATGGGTCTCAGCCGAAATTCGAACCCTTTACCTCCTGAATTCAAAATTCGAGACTCACCGCTATGCTTGTCCGTTCCATCTGAGTGTGTAATTTGCACCCGTGTTCACATGTATATTGCAAGAACTTCAAATCAAAGATATATTAAGGTGGCGATCTTCTGGTGGTATGGCGCCATGTAGCTTGGTGATTAAGTACCGACCTGTTGCTTGCTTCAGGATAGAAAGAACACACACCTCTTCTTAGATAATCGACTCACAGATGGCAGTGAGTTTGTCAGGCCTACGCGCCGGCCGCCCTTTACCCTCAGGAAGAATTCTGGTACTCATTTCTGCTAGAGGTTGTATCAACTACAGGGCTATAGTGCGGCTGGAAGGATTAGGTCAATTGAAAAATCCACTTACCTCATCGGGAATCGAACCAGCGACCTTCCATCATATAACCTAGTGCCTCAATCAGTTACGCTACCGCAAGTCCCGTTTCTGTATTAGAGCCACTTAAAAAAATCTTAGTTTTATTTTTATGTCATAATAGAGTGTTCAGTTGTGTAGCACAGACTGATGCTTCGCTTCTGGCAATAGAATTGGTGATATTCTTTTTGATACATTTTGGTCGTTTGGGAACACTATATTAGTAAAATATGCCCATTACATTATCTCGCTTTATGAACTGTCTTCAGGTAGGTAACAGCGGGAATGCATTAGATATTTGTACGTGTCTGTTTCTGTTAACATGTGCACCGGTTTGGGCTCAGTGAATTTATTCAGTGAGTTAGAACGTTCAAAACTGAATAATGAAGAGCTTCATAATTTGCACTATTCTCCAAGTATTATTAGAATGATCAAATCAAGGAGGATGAGGTGGGCAGGGCATGTAGTACGAATGGGGAGAAGAGGAATGCATATAGGATACTGGTGAGAATGCCAGAAGGAAAGAAACCGCTGGGAAGACCAAGACATAGGTGGGTGAACAATATTAAAATGGATGTTAGATAAGACGGGATGTTATGGATGGGCTCTTGTGAACACGGTGATGAACTTCAGGGCTCCATACAATGCTGGGAAGCTCTTGAGTAGCTGCACAATTGATGGCTTCTCAAGGAGGGCTCAGCTCCGCGAGTGAGTGAGTTAGAACTTTCCTATGTAGATTCATTCCATCAAATCAGAGTCTACAAACTGCGTTACTGGGTAGTAACGAGTCATCGTGTAGAACAAGAAAGTTACTACGATTTAGTAGGAAAATTTTAATTCGGTTCAAAATGTTCCACCCTTTTTTCGTAAACAAACGAACCCCACAGGATAATGACCAGAGATAAAGTCCGGTTTTGAAGCAGGAGACACTCACAGATATACACGTACATGAAAATAAATCAAATTGAGTGGGATAAGAGGCGGTGTCAAGAGTTGCTATCCCTCCCGATTGATACTATATCACATGAGCTACAATGGTGAAAACGCAAGAAGCCAACGAAACTGGGTGCAAGCTGGTAGTTTCCAAAATTCTCACCGTGCACTTTGTATGATCGTATCGAGAAAGGTGGACAGGATTATGCGAAACAATAAACTGCTTGTTCTGTGCACAAGTCTAAGGGTGAAGGCAAAGCTGTTCCCGTGCTTGTAAAGCACCATTCTATGAGTAAGTGGAAGTATAGCTTGACGCAGACTTAATCTTCTGATTAGATGGACTGGCTGGTCAGCTTCACGCCTTGGCCGCTTTAGTCCGGGGTAAATAGCGCCATGGTACTCATTGGACAGGAGTCTGGGTGAACCCTAGAGCCGATCTGAACGCTCTGAAGAGGAGAAAATAAACATTACCCCTGCCAGGAATCGAATTCGGATTCCTCCGTTGTCTAGCCCATAGTTCGTCGTTGCGCTGACTGAGCTGTCCCGTATCTCATATTTTGCATGGACTGTCAGTAAACAGAAGTGCATGATGGTCACAGACCTACACAGTTACGGAAGTGGTGCCCTTAACCGACACCCACGGAGAAAACCATGCAACTCTACGGAATAGATAGAGAAAAACGGAATGGATTTACAGTAGGTAATTTAAATTTACGCCGGTCACGGTAGCCGAGCCGTCTAAGGCATGTACTCTCTTCGCTCGCTTGAAAACCGGCATCGTGGGTTTGAATCCTACTCGAGGCATGAATGTTTGTGTGTTTGTGTTGTCCTGTGTGAGTAGGTAACGGCATTACGACTAGCTAATCTCCCGTCCAAGGAGTACTATTGACAGTGTAAAAAAAGTCAAGAAACTGAAAAAGTGGCCAAGGCCCAACAAATGGCTGTTAAGCCATAGATAGATAATTTAAATGTACAGTAGTTAATTCGATTTATTTGAATTTATGTTTTTATTCGAATTTGCAATTTTTAAATTAAATTCGATTTAGGTAAAGGTAAGGAAGGGTAGAGTTGTCCTTGTGCTTAACTAATTAAGCACTATGCCCTGAAGACGTATGGGTGAGTGGATGTATAGATCCATATTTTCTTGACTTCAGCACTAGTTGGAGGTGGTGGTCTACTTCACGCCCGGGCCGCTTTACCCCCGGGAAAGGGGCTTCGGTACCCATTTTATGGGAGGTTGGGTGAACCCCAGAGCCAGTCTGGACGATTGGGGAAGTGAAAGTTCTTGACCCTACCGTGACTCGAACTCCGACCCTTCGATCATCAAGCCCATAGTCAGTCGCTATACCGGCTACGCTATCCCGGGTCCTAAATTCAATTTATATTAATATAAATTTACAGTATATAATTCAGAGCTGTCGAGGCAGGGAGGCCCAGGCTCCTTGCACCAAATTCTGAAAACGGAGTGGGGGCGTGGAGGTAAAACTGTACACAATACCGCCTGCGGCAGATGAAGGTGTATGGCTAGTATGACCGCCCTCAGCCAAAGAATACATCGTGGTCCATATAAAAGATGCTCTATGGACCCCAGACCGATCATTAACGTCATCATCACTATCTAGCAACAAATGGATTCGGACACAAGCTGACTCGTGAAACAGTTGCTGTCTTTTCTATCGGGTCTTGCAGTCCTGGCGTGAAACCATTTTGTGTGCGAAGTGCGACGGACGTGTCTGGATGATGGGGCTCCTGGTGCCGCGGACAGGGACCTCACAGCAACTGAGCAACCAGTAAAGTGTAACAGAAGGCACAGTTCGATGTACGACGAAACATTTGCTACAGATTTTATATACAGATTACTGTCATCTGGGGTGTGAGTTCGTGTAACCGATAGGTCACCGACGTTTCGGAGAAATATACTGCATCAATCTTCAGGGCTAAGAAATAAGCCAAGTAATTTTCCACCTGCTTCTTGCTGGCTACTTGCTTGGCTTATTTGACCCTCATTGTAGAGGCGGTATGTTCCTCCGAAACGTCGGTGAACTTCTATCGGACTATACGGTGTTACATCTAAGAATATTGTACGCTTCATAGTCACCGACGTCAGAAGGTCAGATGAGGAATTTATATATAGAACTTTATTGAGAGCTTCCCTGAAACTGTCGGGAATAGATCTCATTTTGAGACGCTACTTGTCGCTCAGCCAGCAAGAAATTTCCTGCCTGCTATGGAATCACAGTGTTCATCTCCAGGTTCACGAAAGCCAGCTAGTAGTTCCTGTCGTGAGCCGGATATGACTACTCCAGTCTACAGCTTCACACCCCGTTCCTATAGGATCCACTTTAATATTATCTTCCACTTACACCTATATCTTCAAGTGGTCTCTCTTCATCATGCTTTCCGACTGAAATGTAGTATGCGCTTCTCAGTTTATTCGTGCTAATTCCCCCACCAGTCTGATACTCTTTGACAAGAACTTCCTAATACACGTATGTGTTGAAGAGTATGTCGAAATATTCATTTCTGCACTCTGTTCTCTAACATCCTGGATGTTTCCTTCCTCTGGTGTAGAAGACTCGATTTTCATCACCATATAATGCAATGGGCAATATTAAAATTGCCAATTTTAGGTTCTATATAAACTTTACTTTTTACAGAATAAACGTTTATCCTTTCAACAATTAACAGTAAGTAATTAATCAACTAATCATCTGGACGGTACTGGAACATGGAGGTACATTGTCGCTGTTGAACCTGCGGACTGATCAGTTTCTTCAAATCTTAACCTTATATTCACTCTCCCTTAGTCATAGCTTAATATTTTTTCCGATCTCTGTCTTGGTCTTCCAATTAGTCGTTTTCAGATGGTTTTTTCCTTGGCACTACAGCCCCAGTGGGCCTAGACCTACCTGCATGAACTTCTCCATTCACTTCGGTTTTTCTAGATCTTACACATTCGGTAGGACTCCTTGGGCGGATGATCAGCTCGTCGCAAGGCCTCTACCCGTACACAAACACAGAAAAACGCACACACACAAACTAAACATC